TAAGTACACCAGACTGGCCTCCATCTCAGGGAAATCCTGCCTCTGCCTCCTGAGTGCTTGGATTAAAGGCATGCACCACCACACCTGGCCCTTTAAAGTTTCTTGTAGTTTTTGTTGTTGTTCTAGTTTCTTCCTTTGTTTATTTGTTTGTTTTGAGACAGGGTCTCTTTTGGTCACCCTGACTGGCCTCAAGGAGATCTGCCTTGCCCCACCTAGGAGTACTGGGATTAAAACACACTTGACTTCACTCCTGGCTTCCTTTACAGTTTTTTAAAACTAATTTCAGTATAGCACTTGATATAGAAGAAATTACTTTGTTATATAGAATGGTAACATTTGGAAAATGAATTTATTTTGAATTCATGAAATGAGAACAAATATAAGGATAAAACCAGACATGATAATAGTATCAAAACTATAGCTATTTTGTTCTGTGTTAATTGGAAATGATATCCTTTCATTAAAATGGAATCCTGGTTAAAAAAAAAACCTCTATTTCAACAAAATATTTAAAAATATGTAAGTGCTGTATCATATAACTGCTGTATCATAAAACAAATGGAAATTTCAAGGAAGGAAAATATTGAACTCACAAAGTTTACAACTACACAGATTTCTTAGAAAGAACCACTATAAACTTACCAGATGAAACTCCTTGGAAAAACTGGATGTGGTGGAAATGAATTCACTTTATTAAGTAAGATCAGTCCATCCACAATTCAAAAGGAACTCTCACCGAACTGTGTGTTCTGCCAGCTAAGAATGAAAGCCACTCTTTTAAGGCTCTCTTCAACCTTTATGCTATCAGTAATGATTTCATTCCACTTGGCCAGTTTCCAGAGGAGTTGGGATTGATTGAGTGCCCATCAGGAAATTGTCATATGGACTAAGAAATCAATATAATTTCATACAGTAAATATTAAGAGACATATGATGAGAAGCAATTTACCACCTCATTCCTGACAGTAGGAAAAAGTATGTTGGTAAATTTCTAATGAAGTCATTTTTATAGTCATAATGAGGTTGCATAATATGCTGAGTTTCTAAACATCTACTAGGCCAAACTATCCTGTGATGCTGTTCATAAGTTAATCGATGGGAATTAAAATGTCTTGTGTACTTTAGGGCTCATCATATGTACATTAGGCCCTCTCACCTTTAATGGATGTTTCTACCAACAGATGCCTGCTTGTAAGGAGTTATCGTGTGCAGTGTAATCATTTACAGACAAGCTCCCTCTTGGCCTAAGAAGCCATGGTGGTTTGTAAAATACCGTTTGCAGGAAGATTTTGAAGCACTGTGAAACAGTCCTCTCCTCTTTAGAAATTACTGCACCCTGCCTTATTCTATAATCTTGTACTGCAGGGTGGGTCCTCTTACACCCATATAACCCTCATTAAAAACCCAAAGTCTGCACTCCTCCATTATGTAGTTAGCTCCTGGCCTATCAGAATTTCGGTCACTTTAGTTCTCCCTCCATTCTCACATAGCCATTCTCCCAGCACACGGATGACCATACCATCTAACACTTCATCAAGGTTGACCTTTTCCAGCAGGGTTTTAAGCACTTAAGGTAATCTGTTTAGTCTTAAGTAACATTATAAAGTATAACTTTGTGATATGGCACCTTCTTGATATAGCTATGGCATGTTGAACTTTAGGCTGACTCTGTCTCTGAAATTATCAGGCAGTTGGCCTAGGGTATGATATGGGAACACACACCAGCAGGACCCAGTTATCTTGGGAACAGGTCAGCATGTTCTGGAGTGCACATGCTAACTGCAGATTTATTGCTTTTGTAGGTTATGCTTGGCTTGCTTCTGCAAAATAATGGTTGCTTAATAGAATAGAAATTGTTAAGGGGCTTTGCACCTGTAAGTTTGGGAACTTAAACTTTCCACCCCTGGTTATGGTTTCTCTGTATAAAAGCTTACCTTAGAGATGGCTGGAGGCTACACACATGGGTCCCAACACCCTTGTGTAGTGGCTGGCAAGCAAAGACTTTTTCATTTGGCAAAACTGTATGAGTGGTCTTCTCTGGTGAAGCACCCCACAATATTATTTCCATTTAGCAGATGAGAAAATAAAGTGCAAGAACTTTAATGATTTGAATTTGAAGCCTAGCAGTTTGGATCAGAAGTGAAACGATATTGCTCATCCAACAAACTGAATAAACCCAAAGTTAAACCAGTCTGTGTCAGAAGGTACATCATTTGTTCCTCTCCCAGGTAAGCATGACGGAGTCCAGCCTGGTCTACATAGCAAATTCCAGGCCAGCTGGGGCTGCAGGGAAACCCTGTCTTTGTTCTGTGTTACAAAACAAAACCAAACTCCTGAGATAAAATGAGGCCTGGTTTTTCTGGTTGTTGAAGAAAAAATAGGTGAATCTGAAGAATTCTGAAAGAGTATAGAATATAAAAGGAGAGAATGAGACGTTAGTTACCCTTTCTGCACTGATAAAGTAACCACCTTGAAATCAGTGTTTCCTCATCTTTCCAGAACGTCATCCTTTGTTGTTCAGGGTGGCGCACGCCTTTGATCCCAGCACTCAGGAGGCAGAGGTAGGTGCATTTCTGTGAGTTCAAGGCCAGCTGGGGCTACAGGGAGACCCTGTCTCAAAAAAAGAAAACAAAAAAAAACATCATCCTTGTAAGGAGCCTTTCTAGACATATCCCTGTCTAATTTTCTCATGATCCCTCCTCATGAAATTGAATAATTTTTTTGTCAAGTTTTAGAGTGCCACAACAAACTTAAGATGATGAGGTTGTATCTGAGATTTCTCCTCCCTTCAGTCCACTCTTAAGGGTCATAGTACCCTTTAAATAGGGTCTCAGTGACTCCTGCATGTCTCTGTTCCTAGAGTGGGGGGTCTTCCTTTGCAGGCACAGTACAAACCCATTATATCAACTTCAGATTTGTAGCATGCTTTTCTTGGCCCCAGTGTATACCACCAGCACACCTTTTCATCCACATAACTGTTATTACAACAATATCTAGTCAAGATTAGTATAAAATGTCCTAACACTATTAAATTGCTCTGTAGCAGTGAACCACTTACATCATATATATTTGTATATATTTAATATCAATTTTTTTCTACTTCATAATGCCCATCTATTAATTAGCCATTTAATGAGCGTATTTTATGTTAGACACTGGGGCAATGCTAGAGAAGTACAATTTCTACCCTCATAAGGTTTTGATTCAAATTCAGCTTCCCTTTATCTCTTACAGATTTTAACTATCTCTGGTGTCAAGGTTACCACAAAATTTAGCCTGCCAAAATTTGTGTGGCTGGACTAGTCTTCTGAATCCTAAGCCAAAGTTACTATCCTGCAGCAAAATGTTAAGTTACTTGTTTTATGCACCAGAAGGCAGGAAAGCAGGGCTTGCTTCCCGTGGTTGGACAGTAGGGTGCAGAGCCCAAGAGCAAGCAAGGATGGTGTATACATAAAGATGTAACCCAGGCCAGAGTTAATTCTGTTCCTTGTCTCAGCCTGTGGTCACCTCTACTGCGTTAGCCACAGGTAGCTCTCTGCACAGGTTTACACTAACTCTGTTATGGTCTTAGAAAATAGCCGTATGGAAATGGCGGCTTGGTGGGGAGAGCACTGGGAATTTTGGGTGGCAGAACTTCCCATGAGGTGCCCAAGCTGCTGTAAATAAGCCTAGTAAACTCATTTATTTTTCCTAGCTGGACTTGTCACGTCTTTCTTGTATCTCTCCGCACCTTCTTCATGTGGGGTGAATAGATGATTCTTTTTCATGGCTCCTCAGTAAAGTCGTGCAGCTCTTTGGAAATGTGTAGTCGAGACATTTTCTTTATGGACTTTAGATGATTAGACCAGGAGAGAACCCCACGCATTCACTGACGAAATATGATAGAGTGAAAAGTCAGCCTATTTAGAACCCAACTTACTTTAGGCTGTTTTCTATTTATGAAGCCTTGGAAAGTTATTTCATCCCTGATAGCCTTCCCCTACTCTTTACAACCAATGACAGCCACTTTACAGAATGGGGGCAGATTGCTCCTGCTGCAGTATATTCAGCTACTGAAGAGTTGGCGTATCATGGAGAGGAACAGTTAAATTTTAAATAGCCCATGCGAAAACTAAAAAGATTTAAGAAGCCTTTCCTACAGTTACATAGAAATGCGAAATGCCGCCAACGAACCCCCCCAAGGTTCTCCAACTCTTTGACGTATGTCAACAATGATGCAACTAAATGTTAACCTCCTGACTAATTGTCAACATTATTTGTGGATGGTAAGTTGTATCCGAGTATTCCCGGACATTAGTGCAACATCCAAAACCAGGCACAGCGGTCAGATCTGTGTCCCGGGAGGTAGTTTCAGGAAATCCAGCTGTAGCCGGCAGGCCCGTGCGTGCCCCTCCTCTACTCGAGGTCCCGGACCCCCGCCAGCCTCGCGCTGACCCCGCGTCCTCCGCTCCACCCGGTTCCCCGCAGGCCGCCCGTAGTGCAGGGAGCCAGCTGGCCCTACAGGTCCTCGGCTCAGTCCCCATCCGACCGCATTACCGGAAGTGCCGCCCACGGCCCTCAGGACAGCCCTCGACTCGCGGGGGAGTGTGCGAACGCCGGAAGTGAGACAACCCGGAAGCGGCTTGCCGGGCCGAGATTCGGGGCGCGCGTTTGGAACTTCAAGTGGCAGCGTGAAAGCTACGGAGTCGGTGCCACTCTGCTCGGGTGTGTTAGTGACCGCAGATTCGTCACTGACCGCTTTTGGCTCTCTCACTGACCGCTTTTGGCTCTCTGCGCATCGCGATTGGTGCAGCCGCAGGGTGATCTCCCCAGCATCCCCCTAGCACCTCCC